TATAAGCCAGCAGTGTGTGGCAACAGTCAAAAAAGCTAACACAATCCTTGGTTGTATAAACAGAGCCATAGAATCAAAATCACATGAAGTATTAGCACTGCTTTATAAAGGCCACACCTAGAATACTGCATCTGGTTTTGGTCACCACATTACAAAAACGATATTGAGACTTTGGAAAAAGTGTAAAGACCAACTAAGATGATTAAAGGCCCAGAGACTAAAACATACAAAGAATGGTTGCAGGATTTGGAATTGGCTAATCTAGAGAAAAAAAGGACTAGGGGGAACAATGATAGCAGTATTCCAGTATTTGAGACACTACCACAAAGAAGAAGGGGTCAACTTAATTATCAAAGTACTTGTAGGCAGGACAAGAAACAATGGATAGAAACAAATCAAGGAGAAAAGCAACCTGGAACTACGTAGAAACTTCCCAACAGTGAGGACAATTAACAAGTGGAACAGCTTGCCATCAGAAGTTGTAGGTGCTTCATCACTGCAGGTTTTTGTCTGAAATGGTATAGGATCTCCTGCTTGAGTAGGGGGCTGGACTAAAAGACATTAGACCCCTTCCAGCTCTATTCTGATTGATTGATTGAACATCTCTCTATATATTTCCCTCACCGCTTGTATTCTGGCCACAACTGGCTATGCTGTTGGATCCAACTACATCATTCAAGAATTTCTGATGTATATCCTCTGAGCTTGTGGTCAAATCTTGATTGTTGAATGTCAATCTTAATTTTTAAACAAGTAGTTTATGCCACATTTTTGTTCCTTAGATATTACCTACCATTTGTTAAGTGATTTTGCCCCAATTTACTTGCCACAGGTGTTAAATGAATCACTGCAGCTATCAAGTTAGTAACATGGTTGTTAAGTGAATCTGGCTTTCCCATTGACTTTGCATGTCAGAAGGTCACAAAAGGTGATCACATGACACTGCAACCATCATAAATATGAGTCAGTTACCAAGCATCGGAATTTTGATCACGTGACCATGGGGATGCTGCAATGGTCATGTGAAAAACGGTCATACACCACTTTTTTCAGTGTTGTTGTAACTTCAAACGGTCACTAAATGAACTGTTGTAAGTTGAGGACTACCTGTACTGCTTTAGCTTTTCTTAAAGGTATATAAGGCTTGGTTAAAAAAAATCTGTAGAGCTATCATTATTCATTTTAACAATTGCCACTTGACTTTTAAAAATTACATGATTGCTACTAATGTATAAATACTTTAGTTTAACATCGAAGAAGTTATTCTTTCTGTTATGGAGGAAAGAAATATGTGTACACTACATGAAGTAATCTGTTACTGATTTGGACTAGATATAGTCTTAGAATGTTGCATTTCATATCTAAGTTAAGTTTTACAAAATGTTTAAAATGACAGATTTTATTTAGTGTATAAAAAATAGAATTTGGTTCTCTAACCACTTAATGAAATTGGGGAAATGCAACAGCAATATTACAAAGTTTTGTACTATATAAACTGAGGTAAAAATTAAGATACAGAAGTTTCCTTATACAATGAAAATCAGCAATGAGATCTTTAGTATTAACCAAATGTAAAGGTAAGCTGAATTAGAAAATGGTTATGTTAAACAAATGCTGTTAAAGTACATTTTATTCTGCGCACATTTTAAGTCTCAACAAATTCAATATTATCCCAAGTAAAACACAGATAAACTCTATATATCTACTTTGAAATAAGTCCTCCGAGTTCAATGTATTTACTGCCAGTTAAATTTGTAAATGTGTCCAGCAAACATAATTTTACCCCACAGTAGTTCTGTTGAAATCAAATCACTTTTCTATTACTCATAATTGTGCCAAATTCTGTGCATTAGCATGTAAAATGTGACTGGGATTGATATCTAGTAAGTGTTAATTAAGAGCCAGTTTGATATAAATAGTTTAGGCATCTGGAAGACTGTCAGTTCAGGTTCTACCTCAGGCATAAGGCCAGCTGAGTGACCTTGGCCCAGTCAGTTTCTTTCAGCCCTAGGATGGAAGCAATGGCAATTGACTTCCAAAATCTTGCCGAGAAAGCTGCAAAGACTAATGTAACAATGGTGGGTTTCAAAAATGTTTACTACTGGTTCTGTGGGTGTGGCTTGGTGGGCGTGGCAGGGGAAGGATACTGTAAAATCTCCATTCCCACTCCTCTCCAGGGGAAGGATACTGCAAAATCCCCATTTCCTCCCAATCAGTGGGACTTGGGAGGCAGGGAATAGATTGGGGTGGGGCCAGTCAGAATTTTTACTATCGGGTCTCCAAACTACTCAAGAACTGGTTAGAACCTGCTGAAACTCACTTCTGTAGTGTAGGCAATGTCTGAGAATTAGACACAATGGAACGGAGGACAAAATAGTTAATAGGTTAGAAACATGCTATATTTGTGTTTCTATATTAGTACCTGATGTTATTGTATACTTTTTTTAAAGTTACCTGATAGTTAATGTTTTAATTTGTGTCAATGTTATCCCACGTTAGGATTAGAGCAATGCCACGTTATTTAAGTTATTTAAGCTAAACAAGTTTTAGGAAATATTGAATATTGAACAAATATAAAATTACTGAATCAAGTCGAGTATTAATGGTTACCCTTATTGTAAGTGACCTGAATCCTGAATACTTTCATATCAAATTAAGGCCAAATGTTGATTGTTTCGCTATCCAAATTCTTTCTTAGGGACATTAAAGAGAAGCTAAATTTACTGAGTAAATAGATTTTCTTTGTGTAATATACTAAGTATCACAGCCTTCCTCTTCCTGACTTTAATGGAACTAAAATGGCTTAAAATCAAAATAGATTTGTTTCTCCTGCTGATTTACTGAAAACTCACCTTTCATTCAAATTAGAGAATTTGAGGTAAAATTTTAATTTGTCAAAGAATCTCTAATGTTAAAAGTAGGAATTTGCATTGATTTTAATCAGAATTGCCTTGAACCACAAGATAGGCGGCAAATAAATTTGAATAAATAACTCATTTAAAATAATAGTTTATGAAATAAAAGCTGTATAACTGTCAAAATAAGTTCTAATGTTAAGTGAAGCACTACTGCTACAATTAATTTGGTAAACCCCAAAGGAAAAAAGTAATTAACAATGTTCCTTTTCTAAGGAAAATATTACAAATAATTTAACTAAGTTGGAAAGACACACTATTTTCAATTTAAAAGTTTGAAGGGCCAGTTAAAGTAGTTCTAACTTTGAAATTAATATTGTCATGGTAACTTAGGTAGCTTGAAAATTCATTTGTAAACCTTATTTTTAAAATGTAGAAGAATATAGATTTCCAAAAAAGGTTAAAGTAACACAATTCAAGATAAAGGAGTTTTGCTGACACACATTTTATGCCTTGATAACTTTGAACTTAAAAGACTATTAATATGATTCCCGGAAGGCTGTTAGAATTTAAAATTGTAACTTGTGGTAAAATGTTGTGGTCCAAAAGAACAATATTACAAATAATATAATGAAAAGTAGCATTTCAACATTTCAATTGGGGGGGGGGAACGGGGACGACAGTTTGCAAATATTTCTTTTAATACCTTTAGGCCATTATAAATTTCATCTTTCTTTTTAATTAATTGGCTTAGGAACAAAATATGTATTTTTAAATACATGCCCAAACTTGAAGTAAATCCTAAAAATACACCAAAATGTATTGGCTTGGTTAAAATTCAATACAGATGGAAATACAAAACCAGTAAAAGGATTAATTTAAAATGTTCTGAAACTTTGTGCTTGAACTCAATACTTTGTTCCCTTCATTTTCAGAGAGTTATAAACATGACCTGACCTCCATTTCATTCTTTGGAACAAGTCAAATCTTAATTGCACACACTGATGATAAGCAATTGTCTGGCCTATACAGTAGTCAAGTACTTTGACACTACTGAGCTGTACTGTACTTTGATGAATCTATAGCAATTTCAATTCCCTTTCATTTTTACAAGTTAAGCAAACTATTATGAAGAAATATAAAGTCTAGTAATTATTATCATAGCATTGTATTTCAAGAAAATCTTGCCCTAATTACAATATATGATTGATTAATCATTGTGGTATTTTTTAACAGGAACAACTACAATTGTATATATTTATATCATTATCAGATTTATTGCAAAACTATCATGCATATGAATCCATTGCTAGAGCAATAAGCATAAACAAATTACAAGGCAATTGTATTGTAGGCTGCTATTCTGATATTATTCTTCAAGGTCAATCACATAGAGTATTCTATATGTATGCAATTATCTTGCTTTAATAAGCCTGATCTCATTTTGGAAGTTCAAATGAGACTGCATGAATGAAGAAGCAGTTTTGACTTTTATATATATATTTCCTATCTTTGGAAAGAAGAACTATTATAAATCAGACTGTTTCTTCCAAATGTACATTTTAATCCAAAAATTGTCTGATGTATATAAAATGCAAATATTTTATCCATTATTTCTGTAAAGTTGTTTGCGCTCTGCCTTAAATTTGTTTCATGAAAAATATCTAAATTTTTTGGGGGACATTCTAAAGTAAATTTCTCTTTTTTTGTAAAATATAACCACATTTCTTAGTCTTACTTTAATCAGCACCTCAATTTCCATAGCTGTTTCCTGCCTAGATCAAACATCAAGTCTCATGACCTGTTAGAGTAAATAAAAAGAGCTACTAATTCAGTACATTTTCTTCTAACAAAGGCTTTGTAATTACTTGTACTGTGATGAGATTAAATGAACTTGTTATTCCTTTCTTAATATTTTCAACAGGCCTAAAATTTGTATTGCTTTACTAAAATAATTTCAGCATTATTACCCAGTTATATACTTTAGAGGAAGTGAAAGGTGTATTTAGATCAAATTACATTATTTATGAAGATATGCTTGAATTCCCCAAATAACTCATATTCTCTAAATATGAATTAGATGGAAAAGAAAATGCAAAGAGAGGGCTGTCCATTATAAGCATTAATTAGCACAATTTATCTTACCTGAACTTTTTTCCATCACTTCCTTCTGACACATGTCTTGGACATTCACAGTACAATTCACAATGAACTCCGGGGCAGAGCAGTCATTATTTAGCTGAAATTCCTCACACTGATAACACTGTATTTGCAAAGCAAATCCTAAAATAGAAAGTTTCATAGACAGATAGCATAAATTTTTACAAATTCTAATGTTACATTGCAATCAACTTTACTTATGGGTAAATGCTTTAAAATTGTATGATTTGCCAAGTTTTCCTCCTCCCTTTAAAAAAAAAATGTTTAAAAACTGTGTCAATGTCCCCCTCTCTCCACTCCAACATATTAACTGATTATTGCATTTGGGTCTGGCCCCCTTCTCTTCAGCTAAGGCCTTGGTCTTTTGCAAATGCTGACCACACACATAATGTGATTTCTTCACCGGTTATTCTGCTTCCAAGTTTTCATAACCACCGGCTCTGCATCAGCCTAAATTGCATCCAGCAGGGGGCAGAATAAACAATAAGGACGTGTAACAAAATTGATTTGTTTTGCTCACCAATTCTCCTCTCTCCTCTCCTTAAGAGTTTTTTTTTTTTTTTTTAAGCACTATGCTTTTAAAAAGCGAACGAACGGCACTGGGGGCAGACTGGACCTGGGAGCACTGTTTTTAATTTATGCGCTCCAGAGCTTTTCCGAGCGAAAGGGTTTACTTAACTGCTAATTAATTGCAAATGATTTAATTACTATTTTGCTATGCACAATTACAGCTGCAAAGCATCCTCAGTTCACCTCTTTTATCATGTAAACGAGGTCCTTCTGGAAGTTAAGGCGAGGGCAAGGAGACAGATTCGGGTATTTTACTATTCTTTCGGAGCTCTGCCCCAGCAATGAATCGAGTACCTGTGGTCACTTGGGGTGAGGGGCACCGGCGTTGTTGAACAGAAAGGTGGGAAACAAACGGAAGAAGGTCGCCCTCTGTTAGTCCTGTTTTCAAGAGGCGCTCAGGGCTGCATTAGGGTACCTCCTGAAGAGGAAAGGAAATATCGCCTCGGGCTAAAAGGGCGACTCGCTATAAATCAAGTTGTCCGATTCACCCGTAGCGGTCCGTTCATACAGAAGAGCCTAACGGGAGAAGATCAGCACTCAACCTTGACTTGAAGTGGGGAACCGCTTCGGATCCTCATTCCCCAAATGAGTTTGCTCCACTCAATGTGTGTGTGAGGAGAAGGCGAGAAAGAGAGAGCCAAAGCCACCCCCCAAGCTACCAAGCTAAAATATTCCAAGCACTAATCACACTCTTTCTTCGGCTACTTGGAAAAGGGATTGGGGACTTCTCCCTCCCATTCCGTTGGAGGAGAGGTGGCCAGACGGGCGGGCTTCTCAGCCACTGCCGGGTGAAGATAACTCGCTAAAAAGCCCGCTCGCCTCTTCTTCCCACCCCCGAGTGGGAAACGCCGAGAAAGGGGACTAGGAAGGTGGCGGCGCTTGGCTGCGGCGCGTTTGCAAGCTGCCTGAAGTTGAGCCGTCCGTCTGGCGACGCGGGTCCAGAGACAAGCAAAAAGCGGGGGGCTGTTTTCCGGAAAGAGGGGAGGGGGACAAACGGCCATCTGGACACCTCGAGCGTTGTCCTCACGCCTTCTCAGCCGGGGCTGTAATTAAGGACCGTTTCCCGCTTGGAGAGGGGAAGAAAAGAAAACACCAAAAGCCTTCTTGGCCATTGCGCTTGTTGCAACAACTGTTAGGATGCGAGGCGCGCGCGTCCACCCGGCTGCCGCCCATGGCTCAAACCACAGAAGGCGAGTCTGGCTGCAGCCAAGCGGCTGAGGAAGAGTAGCGGTGGTCGTCGGCGCCTCGAGGTAGCTCGGAGAGGAACGCGCCAACTTTGCCAGGTATCCCTGCCTCGGCGGGCGCCCTCCCCGAGGAAGGCGACGCGCCAGAGGCGGGAAAAGGTGGCGAGAGGGACCAGCCCGTCCCCCTCGCGCGCTTACCTGGCGCCAGCAACAATCCCCAGAAAGTTGTCGTCACGGCGAGGAGCCACATCCTCTTGGAGCCGTCGGAGGTGAAGGTGACGGTGGCGTCGGCGGGCGAGGTCCGGGCGAGGAAAACGCGCGGTCTCAGCAACAGCCCGAGCCGGGCGAAGGTCGGAGAGCTGCGCACCTCGGCTCGGACGGAGTGGCGCTGCTGCAGCCGCCGCTGCGGAGAGGAGCTCCGAGGGCAGCAAGCGACGCCCGAGCCCGCATCGCCAACCTGGCCGGGCTCTTTCCTTCTCCCGCTTGAGCTCCCTCCAGCGTCGCCGGAGTTAAGAGACTGAAAGTACCACGGAAGACGCCGCGCCAAGAAAAAGGAGAGCGAGGGAGCGCGAGAGGGAGAGGCGCGCGCCCCCCACTCGCATAGCCCCCCTCCCTTTTCGTCGGGCCACGTGACCACTCCCGTCCCCCCCCCACTCTTCTCCCAGCCCTTATTTTCTGAGGCGGGGAGAGGAAAGAAACTTTAGGGAAAGAGGTGGGAGCCGTCACGCTCCGGCACAGACGACGTTGCGCCTCGACACGTCTGGTTGGAGCAGCCGCGGAGGAGGAACCGGAGCGACCTTCCCGTGGATTTTTCCCGCCACTGAATTTCCACCTTGCCCGCGAAGCCTTGCTACCCTTCGGGTTATGCATATACGGAAAAGAGAGGCTAATTTATTAGGCAGCCACGAGGGAAGAGCAGCAGTAAAGTCTCTCTCGCCTTCTGGGGATATATCGTGGGTGCGCCTTATTGACAGTATGAAAGTGGTGCTTTTTTCCCCAGTTTAGACAACCCTGCCTGGGATCACTCAGAGGTCTCCCATCCAAACACGAGATGGGTCCAACGCTTCTTTAGTTTCTCAGGGACAGCAAAATCACCCAGCTGACATTTGTTCGGCTTATTATTTTAGGGCAGTGATACTAATTTTAAAACATCTGTTTATTCCTTTATCGTCTCTCAAGCCCCGCACACTCAACAGACTGGCTCGCTTTCCTTCACGCTCCTTCGACCCTTTCTCCCATCCGACCTTTTCCCTTCCTGGGTGCGCATGCGCCTCCTAAGCGCTTTTGGCTTGAAAAATTGCAACAGGCGAGATCGCTCCGAGGCGGTTAATTAACATTGCGCTCCATCGGCTGCTTCCAAGTGCTTTTGGCCATTAGGACGGGCGACGATCAGCTTTTCTCGCCCGTTTCCCCCGCCTTAAAGGGCGATGAGGATGTGTACCGCGTGTGTGGGCTCGCGCATGAATGCAGTTACTTGAGCTCGGCAGTAATAGCGCCCAGGGTGCGCAACCTGTGCAAACGCGCCTTGCACAGTTAAAGGAGCCGATCGCCCCACCGACTTCCCGGAAAAATCTCGGTTTCGCCCGCCCATTTTCCCCGCTTACTTTCTAATTCGTGTCGGAGCGAAAAGGCCCGGGAAATCAGTGGCGGCCCTCCTCTTTAAAAAGCGCTCAGTCACTCAGCAAGGAGGGAGCCGCGTTTCTGAGCACGGAGCTGCCAAATGCGCGCCCCTCGCGGGCAGGGGACTGGGACGGGGTGCGCGCGTTGAAGGCGATCCGGGTTACAGAGAGGCGAAAGGGGCGCCCGGTTGCGCCTCCGTGGCCACGCAACTATAGGGCGCAATCTTATTTGGGGAAGTAAATGTGTGTAAGATCGAGAGAAAATCGGGGGATGGGGTTGATGTATAGGGAAGGTCAGGTGTAGCAAGGTCCTTTTTTAAAAAAAAAACTCAATTTAATAGCAATCAACGTTACAGTGGCTATGAGTACGTTACACGTGGAGTACGTCGGCTCCGGTGCCTTCGGACCCTCTGAGCAGTAGACTTCAAATTGACAGTTTCGCGAACATCTAGGCGGGACAAGCGGGGGGCACTTAAACACACTTCAGGACTGGCTCGACGGGAAAAAAACGAAACGAAAGGGGCGAGCGAGACCCCGAGTAAGGTACACAAATGCGCGAATAAAGAAGAGCCCATTGGAAGTCTCCAGCGGTCCATTCGCGCCTTTCTTTTCAGCCAGGCGAGGTTCCTTATTAGGGTATAAGTGGGAAGGCATGAAAGAGAAACGCGCGTCTCCGAGGTCTGAAGGGGTCTTAGCTTTTCCCATTCAACCGCCTTTTTTGAGAGCTGGGAAGTTTCTGCGGCCAGCTGAGCCTCTTCCGGGCTGAGAAAATGAGCGAGCGAAGCAATGATTTAGCAGCCAAACAGCCCTTCACCCGGGCTTCTGATGAGCGTGGCTGACAATTCAGGCTCTTGTCTCTTCGCCTCCGTTACTAATTTCACTGGCCACAAAGGACGTCCGTTTGAAGAAGAGGCGGTTTTCACCTGGTGCTCGTAAGTCGGAGCCCCTGGTCTGGCCTTGGAGCGGAAAAGGCATGAAAGAACGAATCCCCATGATTTTTCTCCGTTGTCTTTAAATGAAGTCAATAAAAAAATTCTGCCGAGTATTTGTCAGGTCATCATGGCAAGCTATCAAGAGATGTTCATCACTGGAGTTCCATACTTTACATATAGCATTATTTGTCAGTGTGTTAACCTACAGGATGAGCCAAGTCATAATTATATGTATTTCATATCTTTATGTAACTTGTGAACCATTCATCTGAGGTGAAACCAATGATCAACAAAATGATGTGACATTACAATGGGTTTTCATGGGTCTGAGGTCACTTGCTGCATCAGAGACCTTTAATTCAGCTCTTGATCTATCTATCCAATGGCTACAGAGTCATAGTTGCCAATGTTGCCCTGAGCTGGCTAATTAAATGTACTGTGAAAGGCACATTTTGAAACCAAATAAGCAGTGGTGTATATTTACCAACGTGCTTCCTAGGACACAGACATCTATACTTCCACCAGGAATGTGCCAATGATTGCTCAAGGCTGAACTGATTATATAAATCAGGAAAGGAAAGGAAGTGTAATAACGCTTACACATTGTGGCTTGATGTTAATAAGGAGAAAATGGGATTAAAACACGGGCTAGCATCATTAGAAACTTTTGGTGCTCATGTAAACGGCAAAATGGGAAAAGTGCTAAAGGTTTCATCATGTGGTATAGTAGTATCACATAATTTTAACACACAACTCGCTTTTTATTTCATTTGGAGCCCATTTTTTGCATTGAAGGCTTCAAGGCGAGGTTTTATTGTGAAGTCACAATAGATGCTTTTCAGAGTAAATTTAGTATGAAAGGCAACCTAACCTTTCTCTCTTTAGTCAATGTTTTGGCAAAACACAGAAGAAAATGGTAGAATAATTGGGAAAATCTATAAAAGGTAACACAAAGGGTACAGTCCCATAACAGGTATGATAAAGGCATGGAAGCCAAATTTTATAATGGTTCTAAGTCATTTTTCTCTAAACCCCTTGTGTTTTCCTGGGAGTATGCGGTGGGAAGGAGAGAGAGATAATGAACAGATGTACCAGAGTTGGGAGTTGTTTGCTAAAAGCACCCATGAAATGTGCTTAGTAGGGTAAAAAACAGATTTCTGTAGGGAGTTTCCAGAGAAGGCTTTTACTGTGCCTCAGTCCTTGTTTTTGTGGGCACCTAGACACTTTGTTAAAAACCTTGTTTTTTTCTCATTGCTTCTTTATCATCTTTTTTTTTTTGACATAACAAAATCCTTAAGGAAGAAAAGATGAAATTGGTGGAGTTTTGTTTGACTGATGATAGGTGCTTGACTTGGCTGACAGCACCCTGCAGTCCATTTTGCACAAGAGAACAGAACACAAGTTCTGTTTTTAAAATATGCATTACAACTAGTATTCCAAAGGTGATCGGCTTTGCGTACCTTCTCTTTGAGACATTTTTGTTTTCAACACTGACCATTCCCCCCCCCCCCAAGAGGATGCAGATGCTAAAGAGCTTTGAATTTAGCATCAAATGTTCCCTTGTAGCAAATTCACCAAACTATCTGCACATTCCTTTGTCCTGGAGCATTTACATTTGTGTGGCTGGAGAATTATCGCCATTACTTTTCATCTGGCTGTTTTTTCCCCCCTATGGAAACATTGCTACATTTTTCTAGGTTGCTTTCTTACATGTTATGCAAATAAAAAATAGTCTACTTCTAGATTGTTTTTTAATGTGTAATTAAATTTAGCTCATTTCTTTGGATTAATCTTTGTTGAAATGACTATTTTGCCATATATATTAGAATATCCAGATGTGCTTTGACTTTTATTCAGAAATAAATTCCAAAATAAATTTTATAAAAGTCTGAGAGAATGAAGTCCACCCTGACAGCACTGTATATTTGAAAACAACATAAAATGTAACATTGCACAAAGGTATTAATAACATAACACTGATAGTACATCATACTTTGAGGAAAAATGAATAGGAATTTGCTATAAACATAGTAAAATGACTAGGTATCACAACCATAACTAGATTACAGATTGCTGTACAAAAGTTGTTATAAATACTCCACATCTAGAAAAAATAACACTCCACCTTTGAAATAGACATTTCCCTCACATATAAACAGTCTTTGTAGGAAAAAAAACTTCACAAATTTCTTTGCTAGCACCATTTTTTCCTTATTACAAAAATTTAATCTGTAAATTACAAATCTAAATGGCCTTTTCTCCATGATTCTGAAATAACATTAAGATAAAATATGAAGACATGTTAAATCAGCATAAGATATAACAATGACAGAAGACTACAGATGGAATATCTTTTGGAAATGTTTGAACTCAGAATAAACCTTAGTTTAAAACAGCACTGTTATGTTGTATAATGTAATCCAAGTGGTTTTAATGTAATTTGGCAAGTTCAATTTTGGCAAACAAAGCAATTCAGCTGCATACGATTTTAAGACTAGAATGCTTATAAAACTTTATTTTATAAAAATGATCACTAATTTTGTTAATATTAAGACCAGTATTTAAAATTAGTAATGTGCCATTTCAGAAGCATGGCACAAATTAGTGTTTATTGCTATCATGTTTTTCTACAAATATATTTTTCTTTGTCAAAGAATATTTTTACAACTTCTGTACAATAATTCATGAAAGTGCAAATTAAGACTTTAAAAGTTATAACTGTTACAGGTATTGTGTTTTCTTTCTTTTCACAAGGATGCAGTCTCCTCTCTTCATTGTATGATCACACCAGGATAGATGGTATGATGAGTCTTATCAATTCTCAATATATTTACTGATCTTATTTATTTATTCTGTTAAGTGCTTCATCACTGTAGAATATCTTTAAACATTGTATGAGCTTGTACTAGATGAGAAGCTATACAAAGAAACTCTCAAAAGTTCTGTGTGTTCTCTATCTTAAGAACTATTTAGAGACATTTCTTCATTATTTCCATTTTCTTC